CGAAAATGCCGAAAAAGCTTCAAGTGGCCTATCATTTTTTCGCGCCAAAAAGTTGCATTTTGCGGTTTTCCGGGCGTTTCGCGAAAATTCCTTGCCCGATTGATTTCAAATTTTAGGGTCTGACTCAACGAGACAAGGGCTTTCGATTGGAGCATTTCGCGTTACGTCACGATACATACCGCGTGTGCTTCGGATGCGCCCCAAGGTGGCCTATCTTTATTGCGCGCACTGTATCACCTGGTCATTGACAGCCGTCCGTTCGGCGTCGACGTGGCCGTCCGTTTTAACCCTCGTACGTCGACTGACCTCGTTAGACACGTTGAATTGGATTGCTTCTTCTTTGTTGGTCCGATACAAGTACCGCTGTGTTTCGACGTCTTGGAGGAGAGCGCGTGTATTTCCAACGCCTCATGTCGAAATCGGGCCGTCGGCTTGAGAGCTGTATGAAGTGGCTTCAAAGGATGAAAACAATTCTTGTATTCACTTGGGCTTCTCAAACGAGACTCTCGATCGATTTGGAAGATTTGGAAGATTTGGAAGATTTGAAAGGCGTATCCAGTATCACTAACGTTATTAATCCATTATTTCCTCAAAACTTGACGGTGTCGCACGAGGCGCGATTTTGAAGTGGTGCACAATGTCCTGCAGCATGGCCTCAAGACGTTCGTTGCGCGCCTCGGAATCATGCAGGCGCTGACGAAGCGCGGCGACGTCGTCCGTAAGCGTCGCAAAATTGGCCTCCGCCTGTTCGGCATCGTCCACCTCCTCGGCTTCTACGTCCATAAGAATGGCCATGGCCATCAGCATGGGCGTCGCTTCATTGGGCGCCGCGCGCGGATCTGTCGTGGGCATCGGGCGGAGGCCGTACACCTTTTCGTTGCGGAGAATGCACTCGGCGAAACTCACGCGGACCTCGAGCTTGGCGTCTTCCATGACCTTGTCCATCGACTTGTTGAGCATCGCAATGAGCACGTTGAGGAGTAGGACAATGACCAAGGTAGCGTGCGTCAGCAGCAGCGTGTAGCCGAGCACATATGGGCCCGGCGCCGGGAGCTTCTCGAACGGATCGAGCTCGATTTGGCCGAGCATGACGAGGAAGGTGGTGATGAAGCTGTGGGCGATCGTCGCGTAGGCGTCGACGTTGCGGCCTTCAAAGAGGAGGTAGTACGCAATTGCATACGCGCACTGGAACGGGAGGTAGAAAGCCATGAACTTGGCGACATCCATGAGCATGAAGGTCATGACCGAGATGAGGTACCCGGCCGTGCCGTGGATCTCGAGGTACTGAATGCCGAGGGCCCACGCCGCGAACGTGATGATGATGCCAAAGTACAAGCGGACGTCGTCGCCGGACGGGTAGAAGGTCTCGGTGATGACAAAGATGAGGATCGCAACGAACGTCGGGAGCTGCACCTTGTTGAAGAACGAGTTGAAGTAGTGCGACACGTTGCGGCCACAAAAGCTGAGGAAAAAGTCGCAAGTGGCCTCGACCGCGATGCCCACGTTGCTCGTTTCGTTTTGGTTGGTCCTGGAGATCTCGCCGTAGAGCTCACTGATCTCAAAGTAGACGAAGAAGATCGTCGTTGGCGCCAGCACGAGGTTGTTGCAGCGCACAAACCAGATCCAGTTGACGTGCGCAGCGATCAGATCGGAGCAGAAATTGAGCACAAGAAGCACGAGGCCGATGACGACGATGGACTTGACGGCCCAGAGATGGCGGTTCGCGTAGGTAAAAAAGTAGGTCGCAACAAGTCCGAGCACGAGGGCAACACCGAAATGGAGCCAAACGAGCAGCTGCGTGTGGAAGATGGGCGACTCGCCGTCGCTTAGGTCCATCGTCACCGAGAGCGTCAGCGTCGTCAGCAGCAAGAGGTAGAGCATGAGCTGCTGCATGTACATGCAGCACGCAAAGGTCTACACCGAGATGAGATACGAATACGAGACGGAAGAGCACTCCTACCTCCCACTTGATTGCTAGGATGCGTTCCATCACCTCGTGGTTGAGGAGCTCCTTGGATTTGTCTTGTGGCAGGATTGTGAAGAGGACCGTGCTCTTTAAGTCCTTTCCAGTGCCGTACACCTCGCGCAGCTATTCAATATCGTCGATGCGTGGGATGCATCGCGCAGAGAAGAGATTCAACGTACCAAGGCGTCGTGAAACCCGCGGTTCGGATTCTTGTCGTCGGCGATGACGCACTTGTTGAGCTCATTGGTCGCCTTGCGCACGAAGCCTTTAGTAGCGTAGTGCTTGAGGTCGTCAATGCTGAGCGTTGGCGCGGTAATGGCTTGCTGCATCGTCGTTGCAAAAGGAAAATGAACCAAACGAGACGTCGCTATCGTGTGCCAGGCTTTCGAAAATGATCGCAGATGGGTGGACGAGACGTTGGCTTATCAACTTTATGGCAGACACGCAGATCAAGTTGAGCTAGTACCTCATGCACTCACCACATCTACGTTTTTACTTTCTCCTGCTTGACTCAATTAAGCTTGATTATTGTCTCGATCCATCGGGCACATCGCTTCAAACATGCGTATCACGCCCGTTTCAAATGACCAAAAGTGTCAAGTCCGTCGCTGAGTAGTGTATCAAGTGACCAAAAATATCAACTCGACCACTCGATCGCTTAGCGAGGTATCAACTGACCACTTAGCGGACATGGTGCTGTACACGAGGGCTTGTAGCGAAATGTTGAACTCGTACCAGGTCGGCGTTGTTCTACAGGATTGCAGAAGACTACCAGTGGTGGCATGGACCGTGACTTGAATCGCAGTGGACTGGTTGGTTAGTGGAGGATGATTGTCAAGGAACATGGTCGGCGGCTTCTCAAACGATTCTGAACCGTTAGTCACTAAAGTCGATTTGTGGCTCTTTTGTGCATCTGGTTGGGGTGATGAGCTCAGGCCCGTCAATGTATCATTGATGCAAGATTTATGTCCGATCCAGATCCCGCTCATGAATCACTTGCCACGAACATACATATCAGGGGTGGCTTTTGGTGGATGCACATCTCTGTAGACGCAGCAGAACCGGTCTTTGCGGATCTGGGTGGAGCTGTGGATGGCATGTTTCCCCGAAAAGACGTGCCGTCGAAATCACGAGGAGTAATTTTACTTTATCGTTTCCCCGTGCCGGTCGTAGCTATTCCTGCCTACCCGCATTTGTCAAATACGCAGCTGGAAGGCACAGCTCAAGAGTATTTCGTGAACCGGATCGAAAATAGTTCGTCCTCATGTCCCAGCAAGAATAATATTTCTATCAAAAAAATCACGACGACTTGTCCTTTTTCCACGTCTGCACGAGTGCCACCAATTGCTCGAGCGTGGCTTGCGACGCGGCCTGCATCGCGCGCGCGTCTGCGAGCTCCGAGCGTAGTGCCGCGACATGCTCGTGCAGCGACGGGCCTTCCTCGATCGCAATCGCAACGTACGCCTCGCTGTCGACACGCGAGAGCAAGAGGCGGCGCTCGTCTTCGACCGACATGGCCTCGAGCCGGGAGAGCCCCGCGGCTTTTTCACTCCGGAGCACGCACTCGGCCAGACTCACGAGGGCCTCCTGCTGTGCCAGCGGGTGGTTGATCGCCGAGACCATCGTCGCCATGAGCATGTTGCCGAGCAGAAGCAGCACGATCGTGGCATGCGTCAGCAGCAGCGCGTAGCCCAGCGTCGAGCCAAGGCGTTCAAACGGCCCGATATCAAAATGACCAACGAGCACGAGATAGGTCGACCGGCTCGACTCCGCCAGCGACTTGTACGCCGGTTCGTTCGCGTGCTGAAAGAGTTGCGTGTAGCCGAGCGTCAAGCCAACGTGGCATGGTACGTAGAGCACAAGAACTGCGAGCACTTGACGCACCATGCGCTTGAGGAGGTGGACGTAGACGCCAAGGACGGCGTGGACTTCAAAGTACTGCAGCGAGAGCACCCAGAGCACGAGCTGGAGCGAGAGGCTCAGCGAACGCAGATGCATGCCGTGCAGCGCACAGCCCGCGACGACGCCAGTGGCCAGAAACGCTGGCAGCTGCAATTTATTGAAATCCGACGCCGCAAAGTACTTGGCGTCGCTCGCACCGACGAGCAGCAACACGAATTGCACAACGACCGAAATCGGGCAAAAGAGCGCATAGTAGAGGCCCTTCTTGAGCATGGGGCTGGCACAGCCCAAGTCGAGCTCGCGGTTGGTCGGGTCGACCTCGGCAAACATCTCGTTGAGCTCAAAGATAGAAAAGTACAGCGCCGAGAGAAGCAGCACGAGGTGCGTAATGGTGGCGAGGACGGCAGGTGACGCATGGGCCTCGAGCGCCGGCGGGAGCGTGGCGACGACGACGGCGACAAGAAAGGCGGTCGCCATCGCAAAACAGTGCCGCGTCGGGTAGCGCAAGCCTCGGCACGCCACGTAGACGAGCACAAGTGCAATCTCGAAGGCGATGAACGCCGGTGCGTACGACTCGGTGGTCGTGAGCGCCATCGAGAGCAGCAGGAGCGTGTACATGACGAGTTGTTCGGCGTACCGCCGAAGCCCAAAGTTCTAGTCGCCAGCGCGCATCAGCATCGATCCCCTATATATTGAAATGATACACGCACCTGCCATTTCATTGCAATGACTTGGCGGAGCACGGGATGCTGCAAGAGCTGCGTGGGGTCGAGCTTGCGCTGGACGCGCGGGTCGGCGTCGAGGATGTAGAAGAGCGGCGTGTGGCTCACGTCGTCGTCGAGGCCGTTGTAGACATCAAATACCTAGTCATTCTCCATGTAAACACAAGAGAATGGTCGTCGTCTGGCATCGAGACCTGACGTGGCTGGGCGAGGCATTTCTTGAGCTCGGCGATCGCAGCCGACAGGTCAAAGTCGCGCTGGAGGCTGCGCCGGAACGCTTCGTGGGAGAAGGCGTCGGCCATCAGGCGAGGATTCAAAAGTGCGCCGCCCTGTCTTCGAAGTGGACGCTCCAGCTGCCAATGGCTGGGTACCTTCAACGAGTGCGGGCATCTACAGTACGGGAAGCGACATCGTTGCCGCGTGTCTGGGCCGCGACGTGATATGCATCAACAAGTTGTATGCAGAGGTTCATAGAAAGGACTTTTGTAACTTGCTTTGCGAGCGCCAAAGCGATGTGTTCTCGACTTGGTTGGTAGAGCAAGCCCCGGCATGCGGGCCGAAGAACGCCGCTGCTTCCGTCCGATGACACATTTTCGCGAGCGCAACTTCTGGCTAATCCACAACCTTGGAGCTCTTGGAGCGTCACCGGAGTGTACACAGCAGCTGTACGTGCGACGATGGGCGTCCCTCGATGATTCGGCATCATGTATTACATGTACTGCCAGGGCCTTCAACTGGTGCATTTTTATTCCTTTATTTTAAAGCGTACCATTATTGGTATGATGAATTATTTTATTCCATTGGCGCCCTCTCCGAGCGCCACGTCATGGACCTGTGCAGGTTGTTGACGCCTATATCGCTCTAACATCATTGATGAGTGTGTTATGGTAGCCCAACACGGTGTTAGTTGGTGTTAGATTCAATTTCAGGGTGGTGTAACACAAGATACGCTGTTCTAACGCGAATTTGCCTTCTCTGCGGCTCGTATGGACGGCAAGCCGACAGATCGCCTTGGTCGAACGACTGCACACGTCGCCATGCCGCCACCACCCACGAAGGCCTTTGACCTGCACTCGTTCCGCGCCGCGCTCAAGGCCGGTAAGCTTGAGAAGGCCAAGGCAGAGCTTACCAAGTGCATCGGGCACGAAGCCGAGGTACCGCATCATGCACCTCTATGCCGCCGCACCATGCTCGCTCCTAGATCCGGCAAGTGTACGGCGAGACGCAGCTTCGATCGACGCCGCTGTACCACATCCTCGAGGGTCCGCTCACCGGAAGCCGCGAGGAGGCCAAGGCCCTTCTCGAGCACGCTGTCATGCGTGCTGTGATTCAAATGAAGTGGGAGGTACGCTTCTGCTTCGCTCGTCTTGCACTTATGTATCGTCTAGGCGTTTGGCATGCGCATGTACCTCGAGCAGCTCCTCGTGTACGGCGTGCTCTTGCTCTCGATGACGCTCTCGGTGGCGACGAGCTACGCGCGACGACCAACCGACGCGTTTCCTGTCCAAGTGCTCGTGTGGGCAGTCACGCTACTGTCGCTGCTCCTGAGTCTTCTCGCGTGCCGCGTCTTTTCGTATCGGCGCAAGGAGCTCTGGTGCCTCGTCACGAGCAGCCTCTGCGCCGTCATCGGCGGCGTCCTCTACGCCAATGACGCAGCTATTGAGGCATTCTTCGACTATGCCACCTTTGTCTCTTGCAACCACGTGACGCTGCTTCTCTCGGGCGCGTACTTTTTACTCTTTGAGCTCGCCGAGCTCTTTGGTGAAGTGCCCGCAGAGTCGCGCGTGGTGCACGTCGCAGGGTGGCCGCTTTGGCTCCAGCGTGGCGCCTACTGGGTGGTTATTGCGCCTTTTGACGTACTGAGTCAGTTTGCATTGATGCTCCTCGGGCGCAGCGACGCGACGTATTACAGCTCGTTCTTTAATGCGCTGCAGATGCC